AGTGGTCAAGCTTCATATGAAAATATGGAGATCATCCCCTACGTGGAGCAGCCTGACCGTGGGACTCCTCTGTCTCAATTTGAAAGGTCAATGCTTTCTCAAATGGCTGCAATGTAGGAAAATCAGAGAAAATATATGCAGATGACTTATCAACATTTCCAGCAAACAAACAGTCAATTTGCATCCCTTGGAAACCAGATTGTTGATATCTACACCAAGCTAGAAGATATGCAGCTCAACCAAGGAAACTGGGATGATTAAATTTGTGGATAAAAAGGGTCCCTTCCTATCTTTTTTTTTTCTCTCTTATGGCTTATTTCTGCTATTTTTATGGTCTGTAATATTTACTGGTTTTATACCAGGCACAATCTTTTTACTTTGCTTAATATGATTAAGGTTTTAAGTTGAAGTAAGATAGCCTAGATAAAATTAAACATAAAACTCAGATAATTTTAGCTGATACAATATAGATTTAATCGATTAAATTGATTAAAAGAACCTTTACATTGGAAATTCACATCAAAACAATCGATTAACTAGCGTATCAATCGATTTAAACCTTTATGTCATATGTGTGTATCAACTAAAATCAGTTTACCTCAGTTAATTTGGCTAAATAAGATTTTATCCTGATTTTGATGGATCTATTGGTTAAAATCTAAATCATTGTAGTTGATATTATTGTAAAACATCCTTCTAAATGATCGGTGTTACAAAACCTACACTAGATTAGACATAATAAATTCGCATAAAACATTACTTAGTTTGCAAAACTGGTTGTTTTAATCAATAAAAAATCTTTTAAATCGATTAAAAGAATTTATACAGCATTTTTTTTTTACTATTTTAATCGATTAAATGTCGAATTAATCGAATAAATGCACTTATGATTCATACTTTCGAAGTCCTTCACTGTTTTAATCGATTAAACCTTTATTTCAATCGATTAAAATCATTAAACAAGAACTTTTTAATCGATTTTGTCCTGTTTTTAATCGATTTTTATTCTGAAAAGAAAAATTAAAGGCTTTAGTTAATGGCTGTTCTTGAAACATGCTACTAAAGCGTGATTCCCTTATCTTTACACGTGTTAATTGTATTCATTACAAACGTGTTAATGAAGATAAGTTTGAATCAACTTTGATTGATCTTTACATGAGTAAAATATCGTATTCATTTTTTTTCTTCTATTTTCAAAATCTCAAACTTATTACATACCTTTGCATTGTTTCTCTTTTGATCCCTATTTTTGATGAAGTCAAAAGGGGGAGAAATAGTTGCTTTAAGTTGCTTTACTTTTGATCAAAAATTATTCTTTATTTAGGGGAAGCAACAAGTTAGGGGGAGAAATAGGAAAATAATTCATTTCTTTATTGCTCACTAATCTGTATTATCAAGTAACTTCTTTTGCAGAGTTATTATTCAAAGTGGTGTTTGTCTTCATCAAATAGGGGGAGACTTAAAGTGATGAAGATCTTATTGAAATACTCTGACGAAGATCTTATTGATTTGATGAAGTCAAAGATAAAGTCAAAGTCAACTTTGTAGCGGTCAACAGTCACTTAGATAAAAGAGTAGAGAGTTTATTGTGTCCGCAGCTTTGCTTAGGCATAATCATTTTTATCTTTTCTGCGGCATGAGGTTTCTTCACTTAAAAGATTTTGCAAAATGCCTCTAAAAACGTTTAAACAGTTAAAAGCAAAGTATTTTAACAAAAGCTTTCTTAAACAAGTTTTTAACTGATATAATTTTGAAATAACCGGTTGTTTTCATTAAAGAAAGTTTTGAAAACCTTCTGTCAATGTTTTAACTGATAAAGCTTCGAAATAACCGATTAAAATCACTTAAAATGTTAAGAGAAGTGTTTTTGCAGTATTTTAATCGATACAACTTGGTTTTAATCGATTAAATCCACTTAGTGTTCAGTATGATCGATCAGAATGCAATTATGACCGATCAGAATGAGATATGATCGATCGAATTGAGTTATGACCGATCGAAGCTTTTTCAATCGATTAAAACACGTTTCAATCGATTAAAACAACTTAGAAAATTTCTTCACAGCTGCTTTTAATCGATTAAAACTTATTTTTATCAGCTTAAAATCACTTGGATAAACTTACAAGAAAGTTTTGCAAGTATATTAATCGATTGAATCATGAAACAATCGATTAAAACAAATTAGAAGATTTTTTGTAAAGAGTTTTAATTGATATAAACGTTGTCGTATCGCTTAAAACAAATATGTTAAAGAATCAAGAACGTTTTAATGGATTAAAAGAAGTTTTAACAGATTAAAACTACACTTTTAACAGATTAAAAGATTATTTTAACAGATTGATTAAACCAGCAGTTTTGAAAATCTTCTATAAAAACAGTTTGGCTTGAACATTTTAAAATACACATTGAATATCAATCTTTTACACATCCTTTAGCAATCAAGCAAGCAGACTTTAATACTCTTTTCAAGAAAGATTCGCACTAGCTTTTTGAAGTTCTTTGAAATTCTTTCTTGAGGCAAATTGCTTTCTTTTGAAGAAGAAACACACTGCAGAATTGCATAAAACTGGTTTGAGCATTCTAGTTTCTTCTTTTCATTTCTTTTCATTCTTTTACTGTATTGTTTGGTGCCTGGAATTGTGGGCACTGGTTTCTCTGCAGCTGGAATTTGGTTGTAGAGGTTGTCAAGAACTGGAATTTGGTTCTTGGTGAAAGGTTAGGTGCAAGAACTAGAATTGTGGTTCTTGTGGTAGATCGAGTGTAAGATTGTAATCTGTAAAACATTTGATCTAGTGGAACCCAGCTAGAATTTGGCTGGAGACTGGACGTAGCCCTGGTATTGGGTGAACCAGTATAAACACCGGTGATATCTTTCTAAACCTTTCTCCTCTTTTAATTATGTTGTTGCGTTTATTGTTGATTGATTGCTTTGTAATTCAAGAACAGATCTGAAATCTTATTTTTACAAATAGATAATGTGTTAATTGCAAAAATCTTTCAAAGATCAATTCACCCCCCCCCTCTTGATCTCAGCCTACTTTTTTAACAAGTTTTATTTCTCAAAACTAGTCCATCACTAAATGGGATAAACTCTCTAGCTTCCCTAGTAGAGTCATCATATGTCGGCACCGTCAGAAGATGCGGTCGGAGCGACGCAATGGTTTTGTTTGACTAACGTCTTTTAAAGTGTGGTTCAATGTCTTTAGGTTATCCGATAACCGAGCTAGACCTAAGGGCGAGGTTTTTGAAAGGGTTTTAGGAGTCGCCACCAATGTTTTTACCAGAAACTTTGGAAAAGGAAAAAGAAGGCGATGGTTTTTAAAAAAAAAACAACTTTTGTCATTACAATCAGAGTTAGGTAAGGGAGTTAGTTACCTGTGGGGAAGATATTAACTTCCCGACGATGCCCCTTTCGGGTTCCCTATGATAGACCGTTTTTATAAAGAAATAAGAACTTTAAACTACAGTTTTACCCTTATTTATTCATTGCAAAAATTAAGTTATCGACTACATGACCCTTAATAACTAATGCACAAAGATAGTATCTAAAAAGCAATAAAATAGAGAAAGAGGTATGGAAGAACCTTCTAAACAAGCTTTTATAATATGCTCTTGAAAAGGGTTCTTTTTGGCAAACCCTGCACTCTACAACAATGCTCACTCTTCTCTCGCAGCACTTTAGAATGCTTTCTAAGAAATCTAAGAACTCTGGAAATGCTTCAGAGGGGTCCTAAGAGAGTATTTTGAGAGGGGTCCTAGCTTTATTTGAGAGGCCGAACAAGATTTGGGATCTACAAATGGGTTAAGGGAGGAGGGTGTATATAAATTACCCTTGGATTCGACTTCTAAAGCGATGTGAGACTCATGAATGTACTGTAGACCCCAGTCAATGATTAAGGGGTAGGAGTAGAGCGAAACTCGGCTCTCAGCCCCATGGTAGGTGCCAATGTTCCATCTAGAAAGAAGATTATCCCGTTAGGGTCAATTCTCGTGTTTAAGGTATTGTCCACTTCTGAGCTCTAATTTGTTGCGATTTTGTTCTTAAAAGACGTCTCAGTTGGTTAAGAGATGAAAATGTATTTATATTACCCTTAGTCTTAACTCCTAAGCGATGTGATATTCATGAGCGTATCGGAACATAATCCCCACAGTTGAGGACTAATTAGGTATTTAGGAGTGGAACGAGTCTCTAGTCCATTACAATTTTGTGCTTAAAAGGTACCTAGATGGATAAAGAGAGGAAGATGCATATAAATTATCCTTAGCCTCAACTCTTGAAGGATATAAGACTCATCATGAGCATACAAAAACAATTAGTCTCCAAAATATTATTCTCTAATTATTCCATTACTCTAAAAGAATTCAATTGATTTTTAGCTAAAATGTTCAAATTAATTTCAAATTAGATAAGTAAATAATAAAAATTATATTAAAAAAATAACATATTGAGTGGATTTATTAAATAAAAAAAACACGAATCATTAATATATAACTAGCAAACACAAAGGTACATAATTTTTATTATGCTTTTTTATCTTAATTTATTTAAACTAATAAATATATATATATATATATATACCTTTTAAAAACATTTATTTATAAAATTATAAATTATTAGAGATAAATAAATATGAAATGAAATTTCAAAAGAAAAGACACTAAAGAAACACGGAATAACGAGAATAAGAAAATTCTAAGTGGGAAGAAAGTAAAGAAAAGAAAAAAAAATATATATATATATATATATATATATATATATTGAAATAATATAAAAATAATTAAAAATATTCCCTTATATATTATTATAGATTAATAAAAAAAATACAAAATAAATTATGTAAGTAATATAATTAATCATCCAAATATTTTAAATTAAAATAATCCAAGATGGTTGAAGAGTTAATTGGATTAAATTAATATGGAAAAGAAACCTCGTAGATATAATATTTTATTGAAGTGAGAAAATTTAATCTACGAGAGTGTTTATTTTTGAAGCAAAGACCAAATCAGCTTTTTGATTTCGTAAGTCTCCATGGGCGAATGAATACTCCGCTATCTACGAAGTTTGTTTTCAATGTTAACATTTTATTGTGGCTTAACCGTTTTGTTTTGACTGCTGCGTTTGAATCAATAAAGGGTTTACTAAGAAGAATTGTTCTGAGAAGATTATTTGATTCCGAAGATTGAACGTAGTTACTAAAAATGGTGTAAATTTAAGATTCGTAGGTTTCACGACCCAAACGAGTATATGAAGCTTGCTGAATCAAAACGTAATATGACCCAAATACTTTGGCACGAGAAAGTAAATACAGGGACTCGGTCCAAGTATGGTTTACCATAAGGATGGAAAAAAAAGAATCCGTGATTTACGGTTAAAATTTCTCATAAATATTAAATGAATATGTTAATCGACATCTAATAGTTAATAAATATAATATTTTAATTATTTATTTTTTTAAATAATAATATTTAAAATAAAAAATATTTATAAGTATTTATAAATATTCATAATTAAAAAAAATTATAAATTACAAAATATGTAACTTTGTAACTTAATTTTATAAAACCTAGTTAAGAATTATGATTATATTTTTAATTATATGAAATTAAAAAAAATTATTTTATTATTTATTATATATTTGAATAAATCTTATAAATAATATATTTTAAAAGAACAATTATTCAAATAGGATATGAATAAATTTATTTATCTAAATAAACCTGTTTATTATTCATATGCAATCTTTTTCCTCTCACTTCTCATAAATGGTTTTATTTTATTTTCTTTTCTTTTTTGTCCACTTCTTATTTATCTGATTTTTAAAATATATTTCTTATTTTACTCTCTTCTCTCTCACTATCTTCTTAATTAAACTACTTTATTAAAATTTAATAAAAATATGCAAAATAAATATTTCAAAACAATATTTAAACTAAACAAATATTAACTAATTATTTATTTTAAAAGTAAATAATTTTATTTATAATGACATAAATAATTAGTTTAAAATAATTTTATCATAATAAATAATTATTTATATAATTAAATATTAAATATTAAATATTTATAAGTTAAATGTAATTTTTATTTAATAATTTAATCTAGTTATAAATAGATTAAGTTATGATAATTAGTTAAATTAAATAATTTTAAAAAATATTTATTAAAAAATACTTTAAAATAGATATTTAATTTTTTTAATAATTATAATATAATAATATTTATAACATCTTAAATTATCATATAATATTTTTTTAAGATTATTTAAATATTTTTATTTTTCAAAATAAGAAAAGACTTACGTTATTAAATTTCAATTAACGAAAAATAAAATAGAGTGCAAGAAAAAAAAAGAAAAAAATTCAAGAAATATATGAAAAAAGGAAAAAGAAAATAAATGTAAAAAAAAGAAATATAATTATTTTCTTATTAAATATTTCATATGAACAGTAAATATTCAGAATTAGCGAGAACTTTTTTTAATGAATAAGCATTATCTCACTAATCACACCACAATATATATATATATATATATATATATATATATATATATATATATATATATATATATATAAAAGTTGAGGTTATGTTACTTGTTTCTAGTGAAAATTTTGGTTATTTTCGATGTCCTAGAGACTTAGTTCTAACTAAATTTTAATCACGTAAATTCTTTTTATTTAGGTTAGCAAACAGTTTTCAATCAAAAAGTGTATATAAATCGAGAATATGAAGATATGGAACAAAATAGACGAAACAAAACGTGTATATTAGAAACACGGAAAACGTGATAAAACATACATATCGAAATCGAAAGTACTTTTTTGTATTTTTTTTTTATATTAAAAGACTCGAGAAGATGAAATTTAACGAAGTTAAGAAAGCAAGTAAAAGAACATCGAGGCAACAAAGTAACGCATAAAATTAAATTGCACTAAGAGTAAATGACATAAATTAAAGTGCGCACAAAAGTAATCGACAATACTCGAAAGTAAATTAAACGTGCGAGTAAATAAATTACTGAGAAAGTAAGGAAAGCATTAAATGCGAATCTTAAACTTGCATAAGTGTAAATGGCAATGAATATATATATATATATATATATATATATATATATATATATATATATATATATATATAGTTGAGGTTATGTTACTTGGTGAAAATTTTGGTTGTTTTCGATGTCCTAGAGACTTAGTTCTAACCAAATTTTAACCACGTAAATTCTTTTTATTTAGGCTAGCAAACAGTTTTCAAGCAAAGAGTGTATATAAATCGAGAATATGAAGATATCGAACAAAATAGACGAAACAAAACGCGTATATTAGAAACACGAAAAGCGTGATAAAGCATACATATCGAAATCGAAAGTACTCTTTTTGTATTTTTTTTTTATATTAAAAGACTCGAGAAGATGAAATTTAACAGAAGTAAAGAAAGTAGTAAAAGAACATCGAGGCAACAAAGTAACGCATAAAATTAAATTGCACTAAAAGTAAATGACATAAATTAAAGTGCGCATAAAAGTAATCGATTGGAATGTAAATTAAACGTGCGAGTAAATAAATTACTGAGAAAGTAAAGAAAGCATTAAATGCAGAATTTTAAACTTGCATAAGTGTAAATGACAATGAATTGAAATAACATGAAAGTAAAGGCACATGAAATTAGATTGCATTAAAGATACAATACCAGGAAAAGTACAAAAAGCGGTAACAAAACTCAATGAAAATGGAAATCCAGATCGCCAGAAACTTCATGATTCGTCGTTCTCCGGTAGACTTTTCACTTGTGTTTTTGTTGTTTCTGCCAATTTCCCCTTCTTCTTCATGCTTCATTCTATTTATAGGCATGTTTCAACGTAACCTCCTAAGAGCGGTTTAGAAACCACTACCACGTTCCCATGCATGAGACAACTGCTCTCTCGATTTTTTATCTTAGTCACGGTTCAAAAACCGCTTTCCATGTTCCACGTGCGTGTTTAACTGCCTCGATTTCCACCTTAGCCACCGTTTAGAAAATCGCTTCCCACGTTCCATGTGCACTTTAACCGTTCCCTCAATCTCGACCTCAACCATCAAGTATTTTAAACTGCTTGTAACTTCCCTCCTAACGTCACGCTCAATACCTATTATCGATTTTTTACTTCTCAATCATGTTCATCGAATTTCCTATCTTCCTTCGATTCAGATTCTCGATTTTCCCTAACACAAGGTAATCGAATTTCTCTTATCCATTTTCGATTTTCGATTCAGATTCTCGATTTTCCTAATCATCAAATTCCTTCTTTCGATTGTCGATTCAGATCTCGATTTTCCCACCAACAGTTACATTTCATGTAAACTTTATATAAATAATTTTTATCATACTACTAGTTACATTTAATATTTTTCTTTATTTATTATAAAATGTAAATGAAGATTATCTTAGATATATCACAAGAAAAATGTCAAATATATTTTAGCGGGTTTATATATTTTTATTAGTAATCATAAGTTTTCCACATAATATTATGTCGTCAATAATCAAATAGTTTTCGATGATTTAACCCGGATTGACAGAGAATTTATATCCATGGAAAAGAAAAGAGTAATAATATACTCTTTTTCATGAATACGAATTCAATGAAAGAAATCAAAATAAATTTAAGTCAATTCTATCAGAAATAATAATGTCAATAGGTAAGAATCTAATATTTTTCACGGATATCAATTTTAAAATTAGGTATGACTAAAAATCTTAAACTCTTCGATATCATCTAGTACTAGAGTTTTTATTTTTTTGAGAAGTCAAAATAAAATTTAATATATAAATTAAATAGATAATATTGTATTCTATATCTAAAATTTTAAATGTAATGTAAATATAAAGCTAATAAAAAAATAATAACAAAAAAAAATGACAAAAATAATAAATTATTTTATTTAAAATTAATACAGACGTTATGGATTAATGATAATATTTTTTATTTAAATAAAATAGAAATGATACAATTATGACATTATTTGTATATAGATAACTATATTTAATCTAAAGTAACTAAAACAAACAATATTCATTTATCAAAGTTATATAACTCTTTCTAAGGTAAATAATTCACTATTCTATAAAATTAATATACGCACTGAATTATTTAAATACTATTTGAATTTTTTTTAATCTCACTCAAAATTTAATTAATATACCATGAATTTCAATTAAAGATTGTTAACTTAATTTTTGTATTTCATACAATCTAAAACATTTAAGATAATGGGTAAGAATAATAAAAAATTATAAAAATAAATTATTAAAAAATAAATGTGCAAAAAATTAAATAACATAAAGATAAATATAACACATTACCAAGGATAAAACAAAAATTGATAGAGAAAATCAATAAATATGGTGATCCAAATTGCAAAAAACTTTATTGAAAATACTTGTTCTCAGTTTGTAGCATAAGTTATACAATTTACCAATCACCCTTGATTACCTTTATTTTATCTTAAATATATATATATATATATATATATATATATATATATATATATTTTTTTGTAACCACTAAAGCAATCATACAAATAATAAAATAAAAATTACAAATTGAAATCTTCAAACAATTATTTTCTTGTAAGCTGTTTCACCTGGTTAACACACGTTTACTAGTAACTTGTACATTCCAAGAAATTTGTTTTCTTAACCGCCTTTATAGTCTTTTGATGTACCATTGGAAGATCCTTCCATGTAACTTCCTCTCAATATATCCGTGTTGATGTTCTCCACTATTTAAGTCTTCGATTCTTAATTTTGTCGATATTCTTCACTTTTAATTCCCTGATTTTCAATTTGTCGATATTCTGTCTTTTTTTTTTTTTGAAAAACTTAACACTAACTACTTTTTCGCCTCGATATGCTTTCTCAATTTCTGGGCTCGATCTATTTTATCGATCTTTTTATAACTTTTAGACTGAAGAAAATGCTCCCTAAGATAATACCTCTATGAATCTTTGACGAGTATATATATTCTTTCATCTTCGATACCAACTTCAAATATTTTATCCTTACTTTATCAAAAGCTATTTCTATTCCATGTTCTCATTATTACTTTCATTCCCTTCATAAATGCAAAATTCCCATAATAAATGTGTCTGTCTATGTTGCCACTCCTTCATTCGTTATTGGTCCAATTTTATTCCTAAATATTTGA